TTCTTGGAATAAGCAAAAGGGAAATATGCAAATTTAGCTTACGAATGATTACAATGCAATATTCTATATTTATCGTTTACAATACAAACTTTTATCGTCTAAATCATTGAAATGATTTACATTTGCGTCTCTTTTTACTGATTCATTGATTTACAACTCAAATTACAATCCTGTTTCGTTAATATATTAAAATTAGGTGATTTTTATGAATGCTCATTTCATCAGATAATGATGTTTAAATTTGAATCTTTTAAAGTCGTCCAAATGAGGAATGCATCAGAAATTTGATGAAAATCCGACAAACATATTTAATTAATTGTTTGTTTGCTTCGGATGAAATTGTGCAATTATTTTCAAAGTTAAAGGCACTGAACAAAACTTTCAAAAATATATCAGACAGTCTGAGTGTTGCTGAAAATCTAACAGAATTAATGAACTAAAAGTCATTTTTTCTATACATTTATGGCATATTTGCATAGTTTAAAAAGAGACAAAATTGACAACGAATTCATAGCATATTTACTGTGCATCCTACGAATTTATTCAATTTTCATTTTTATAAATCACAAATCTGAAAAAAAATGGTTTTTTTTTTCGTTTTTTATCATTTTTTGCAAAATTCTTGAAAATTTTCAATTACCAATCTTTGCTAACTGAATTTGAAAGATCGCAGTTTTAAAGTGGTAAACATTAAAATATACTTTATACACTTTGATTTACTTCTAAAATTTTCTGTCTCATTTTTGATTCATATTATTTCCAGAAGAGTTCGCAACGATGAAAAATATGCTAATTCAATTTTTCACCTTACTGTTTATGATTTTGACGCTCGTCACGTTAGTGTCGACGGGTAATTCGCATCGAAAAGTTTGTGTAATTTTTATAAATTGTCATGATTATGATGATCACATTGAAAGAGATAAAAGAGAGAAAAAAATATAAAATGGAAATCTTTTTAAGTGTAATAAGAACTCCCGCGACACGGATGACTCTGATACTGATTATCTCCTGTCTTTCGAGAATCCTAGCTTCATTGATTATATAACGCAATCGACAGAGTAAGCTTACTTTTAATATTTTCGTGGGATTGCTCTGCTCTCTTTTTTCCTTTTCACTCGTATAATCTGTTGCAGGAGTAGTGAACTTCTGAAGGTTACGAACAGTTCTTAAAGTTGATGGAAATAAGGAATAAGCAGCTAACTAATGGCTTAATTATTTGTACGTTCATAGCGATACCATGAACAATGTTTTGTTGATGAGTAAAACTGGAACATGTTGAATAAAATTGAAATTTCTTACCGTTTAAATTTTTAAAAGCATTTTTGTCATTGTCAACACTTTTTTGTACAAAATTTCAAAATTTAAATTTCACTTTTTTTTTTCAGTGAGATGAAGAGGAATTAGTCAGCAACTTTTAATCAGTTTGTTTGCAAAAAAAGAAACACGTAAAATTTTTTTTTTAAAAAAGAAAATTAATTTAGTGAAATGTATGAAACTGGATGGATTACTGCTTTTGTGATAGCATTTTTAGGTATGCAAAATATGCAGCAATTATATTCCGCAAACATCCATATTTCCTTTTTGTTTCAACTTCCTGTAATTACATGCAATCAAAAATTGAAGTATTTTAAAAGTTTTTCCAACTCCAAGTGTCAAAGTTTCTTTGCCAAGCTGAAATTATTATAAGCAAAAAAAAAAAAAAATGACATAGCTGAAGTGAAATTTATATTTGTATAAGAAAGATCATAACAAACTGGATCCATTAGAATTGATAAATTGAAATTTAAAGTGAATAATAGCTATGAATTTTGGAGCACAAAAAATTCAGGAAACATATCGTTTCATTCAGTTCTGAAGTAATTCAATTTGGTTGTTACTAAAAACACACAAGTTTCGTTTGCTGTTGAACTTTCATATCATTAATTAATATCAGCAAAAGAAAAAAAATCATTGTTACAAACTGATGAGAATAGCGAAATATTGGAAGCACGGGATTGTAATTGGGAATTAACGGTCCCAAGACAAACTTTCAAAAATAAACACCAAACAATTTGAGTGTTGTCGAATGTAGCAGAATTAATTGACTAAATAAAATTTTTGAAGGTATTGCTATGAACGTGCAAACAAATTGAACAAAAATTTTAAATCATATATTCGTCAATTTTGCAACATATTAGGCGGCGAAATCAAAAAAAAAGCGAGAATAGTGTCGTAAAAATTTGAATTGAGTTGATTTGTTTAAGGTCTGATTAGCTGAATTGTTGATCTGTTGATGACTTTGTGGAAACGATTTATTTTGTTAAAGAAGTTATAGTGATTTAGATAATGATAAGAACGAGAATTTAAGCCAACAATAGTAGCAACGATGATCGTTATGAAAATTTGGAATATTTAAATTCTTGAACAGAATGTAATTAATGGGCATGTCATGATATAAGCAATTACAAAGATAGCTATGGAACAGAATGATTTTTACAAAAAAAATGTTAAGGATAAGTCAGCGGATGTTAAGATTAATCATTTGATTAGCTCATATTTGTGGATGAGAAGGAATATTTGAGATAAACATTGAAATATGGAATGCACCGCAATATCACTGATAAGTCCACCATTTCAGAGAGAAAACTATATGAGATTAAAATCAGTTCCGTGCCATTCCGTGTTGTCTAAGTTGAACCGACGACAGTTTCCTTCCTAATTTGGGCAGCGTTCCATTATTGATGTGCCTATAATTCAAGAAGAACTGAGGCGTCATTCCGCGATTTCTCAATGAATTCGACGGCACTATCATTGTATCACTGATGAGTTCACCATCGCTCGGAGGAATCTGAGAGATTAATCTGTCCTGCGTCATTCCGCGCCTTCTCAATGGAATCGACGGGAGTATTTCTCGCTGTGCAGGTGGCATTGTATCAACGGTATGCCTCAGAAAAAAATGGGGGATGAATCCGCCATTTGCGGAAGTGTTATTCGATGCTACTTCAGGGCAGTCGAGATTATTGTTGTTCGCATCCAATGAATCGTCTGCGTTTGATTCTATCTCGCCGAATTCCGTCCCGTTCGATCCCATCTCGCCTGATTCCATCTCGCCTGATTCCGTTTCGCTTG